AGCATGGCATTCAGGCGCGGAATCAAGTAACAGGCATATCGATCTTCCTGATGCCTACCTCGCATTGTGCGAGCAGATCGAGAGCAGACGTCAAGGGCAGAGGTCAAGGGCAGAGGCCAAGTGCAGGGGCCACTCCCGGCAGAACTAAGTTAAATAACCAGTGAGCTGTACATTTTTTTTCATTCCTTGATGATGAGCTCGCAGGAGATTTCGAAACGTCGGACGAATAAATCACTGGTCCCAGAGAACGTTTTTCCTTCTTCTATATCTACCACTATGTATATTTATTTCTATGGAACTTACATTATGAGGTGCTCCGGGAGTTACGAAAACCTGTGGTTTGGTGGTGACTACTAGTAAGTTAAAACTGCTAATTCCATTTTTTCGTGGCTTTGTTTGCAATGCTACTTGTACCCCGCCACTATTTGTGCAGTTTATAAAACTGCGTACCATATACATGCTGCATAGAAAATGCAACCCTGTTTAAAAATGCAGACGAAGGGGGCGGGGACGCCACCACTGGGGTTTGATATGTCTGGCTGTTGGTGACTGCCATCACGCCAAAAATGGCCACCCCAGTTTCTTTGTCTGCAATGTTATGCCTATTAAGTGATCATTCTTTCTTCCCTTGCACAACCTGCTCTACAATGTTCACCTTCGGCCTGTTATCCTTTCTAGCATTGCGCACATTGCACCTCAGGCGACCGATCAGCTAGACAGTGGCCTGCTACCGGCGGTGCGGGAAAGAGGGAGGTCTATACTCAGCGCATTTCTTTCGTCACTGAAAACAATCTGATAGGCTTGAAGTTATCACGGCGCGCTAAAAGCCATGGCTTAGAGGGTTGCCAACTCAGGGGATAACTTGGACACCGCAGTTGGCCCAGCCTGTATCTTGTTGTGTGGAGTGGTTTACTGCGGGCTGAGAGTCATGCTGCAATGGCTTCTCCTTAATGTGGCCTTTATGGCGCTCCCAGGCGGGAGCCTACCTAACAGGATGGTGTTTTTGTGGCGTGTGTTTGAGTGTGTTTCGCGCACACCACCGGCGGCCTTCGAGCTTTTCAACCCTGTCTTGGCATGGGATATAGGTGTGGGAGTGGTGAAAGAGAGTGGGGTATATTTTCCGCAAGTCTACTATAATCTCGCGGGAGTCATCGCGCTGCTTCAGCCTGCTGAAGCTCGAGGTGGACATCTTCGAGAGCAACAATCGAATTGCCGGTATTGCTAGGGCGAGCCTAACGAACAGTCTAACAGGCAGATAGCATGCAAGTGCGAGGGGCCCTCACGACAAGCTATCGATCGGCCTACAGGCGCGGAGCATGTTGACAGGCAATCCATCAATTTAAAGCTACAGTCAGCCGTAAGTCCCCCGGCCAATCCTACCAGCACCTACGTCAGGAGAGAAGCTGATTGGCTCGATGGAAATCGTGTTACACATGCTTTTGATCCGTAATATGTTGTACCCATTACACTCAAAGACTTCTGCTGTTGCGCTCTTTTTGTCATGCTCTTCCTTAGGGGCTCAAAAAAGACGAGCTTAAGCGGTGGCACCTCAGCCTTGGCTACCGATACAACAGGTATGCCTGGCATGCTACCATTTGCGAAAGTTAAAATAAATATGTTGTAGGGGAGGTACGCACTTGTTCTGAACGAGATCCAGCAGCTCAGCGATCTCGTCAGTCTTGTCAGCTTCCAGTTTCTTAAGGAAGCGTGGCAGGCAGTCGTTGCGGATGTACTGCAAGTAGACCTCCATGCGCTTCAGCTTAGCCCTCTTCGCCGCCAGCTCCAGTTGTTCATGCAGTTTTTTGACCTGCTTGTCTACATCCTTGCCCTTCAAAGGCGTGCTCTCCGTAATCTGGACAATCTTGTGCTCTGTGACTAGAACCAAGCGGAAAAAAGAAAAAAAAGCATTATAATTCTTAACTCCAAGCAGCGTGTCTTCTAACTTTGAATCGTAATTTCTGCTACTAATACTACTAATACCAATAACAATATTTCAGTAATATATAAATGCTATTTTATAAAGTTCCCCCATCAATAGTCACATGCAAGGGTCTCCTCGGTCTACCCTATTTGGCTATCTGCGTACCGTGCTTACCCCGTCAGTGATCGTATCAGTCGAATCTGTCGGCCTAAACATTCACCTTTGTTCGACCCGCAGCGGACTGTCGACGATCTGGACGGATGTTTCTGTTTTTCCAGTTTTGTCGACGGACTCTGCCATCAGCAAGGAAGAATCAGGCTGCATCTTCCACACTCGGTGATGATCCCGGGGACCTTTGCAATGCTCCCAGGGTGGATCCCTTCAAGACCGGAAGTTTTTCTCTCTTTTTTTCCTAAACCCACACACCTCCTCCCCCCACAAGGGCGACAGTTTTTCTTCTAAAAAATCTTTAGGAGTTTCTTCACTTTCTGCTCCTTTTTTTCCACCCCATGACTCAGGAAATCTGGCCTCGCCAACAATCTGAGATACAATTTTTCGGCTACCACGACACACATATACAAACAAGGAACTCAAAGGTAATTGACCTACATATCCCTCAATAAACTGAGAATGAAGGTGTGATTTGTTAAGCTACAGGATACACAGAACTGGGCTTACAAAACTGCGTACCATTTTTGACTCTAGTGGTCCGCTAGCCCCACTCGGAGTAACCCATGATCAGTGGCACTGCTGCGCTGACTCGCCTTTTCTGCGGTTGCCGAGATGCCGACCCTCACGTGATTGTACGCCACACGCTGACTCATCCGGCGCCTCGACCTGCAAGTGCTTGCCCGGCCACACGCCAGGTCCGGTAAAAGCCTCGCTGCTCCTGCTCTACCTCCGTGAGAACGCACACCAATCAGTGTGACCCATTTCTTGATTGGCTGCACGAATAAAGCATGCTCTGAGTTTCCGACAATGCCCTACGCTCTCGTCATTTCAGACACAGCCCGTAGTCCTACGGACGCACGCTAGTCTGACAGTCAACTCCCAACCCACCTCTTCTCTGATCTCCTAAGGAACCAGGCCTGAAGCTCGCAGATGTAAGGGTTTTCTTTATTAACCTTAATTCCCCGATACGTCCTCCATAGAAAAATTGTTTTAAAACATGCAGACTGGGGAAGACCTGCTTAATCAGAATTCTAAATTCGATACGAATGTTTTCCTCCTGATCTCAGGTTGATTAAGATAATAAACACGTCGGCATTCTAATGGGATCAGGCCTCTCCGTTCGTTAAAATGCGTCAACCAACGGCATGGGAATACTGCAGGTTATCAAAAGGGCTTTTGGAACTCTCGACAAGGGGCGCTTTGGCAAAGTTTATGACATCTTCCTTCAACCTCACCCGAAATGTAGCGTTCAGGTTTGACGGAGATGGCTCACAAAAGACAAAATATCTCTCGAGCAAATATAAAGTCATTTAACAAAACATTTTAAAACGTCCAAAAACTACTCTCCTATACAAAGAGCCTGAAATGCCTAAATATTTCTCTCCTGTGCTACAGAGGTGACCTTGCCTTAGTGTACAAGGTTAAACACAGCCTTGAGCGAAGTTTGCGCTTTGAGGACGTGTTTTATTGGCACCTCTCGCCTCCACTTCGTGAACATGCAGTGAACCTGCACATAAAAATGGACAGACGAAACTTTTGTTTTAAATGCTTCACGCAAGGGCTAGAAGAACAATGGCATGGTCTCTCACAACTAGCTCTCCAGTAAACGCTTAAATAATTACACATACCTCTGCTTTCCCTTGACAATGTGAACCCGAACGAGTACTTCTTCCATCCCAAGCCAACAAATTTATAAAAACACAGTGCTACTTATATTCTGTGAGTAGCGTACGTATACAGATGTATTTTTCGCAATGGGATGAAACAAACAGAGCAGTACGTCTCGTGGCGTGCTCAGTTTGTAGGCCTCTACCATTGCTACAATTAGACCATTGTTACCGATAAAACAACGAGCGCGTGGCTCAGCGGATTGTTCTTTGGAAATCTCACCAACAGGTCCCGAGTTTTAGTCTCCAGGACTGG